TCTAATTTTAAAGCAACCACTGGAATAATTGATTTAGTATCAGTTTTAAAGATGAATTTTTAAGTCTTATCTGTTGCTGTGTAAGCCCTTATCTGCCACTTGCTCCTTAAAAAGCAGGGGAAGCTACCTTCTGCAGGTATGCCAGTCAATATAGGACAGTTTTAAAAATTAAGGGTTCATCTTTAAAACTGATACTAAATCGAGGATTATGCTAAATCAGGTGCTCTTTTAATTTCTTTCCTTTTTTTTTTTTTTTTTTTTTTTTAAGATGGAGTCTTGCTCTCTTGCCAGGCTGGGGTGCAATGGCTCACTGCAGCCTCTGGGGTTCAAGTGATTTCCCTGCCTCAGCCTCTCCAGTAGCTGGGACTACAGGAGCATGCCACACACCGGGCTAACTTTTTGTATTTTAGTAGAGACCGGGTTTCACCGTGTTGGCCAGGATGGTCTCAATCTCCTGACCTCATGATCCACCAGCCTCAGCCTCCCAAAGTGCTAGGATTACAGACATGAGCCTAATTTTTCTTTTTTTTTGAGATGGTATCTCGCTCTGTCACCCAGGCTGGAGTACAGTGGTACAAATTTGGCTCACTGCAATCTCTACCTCCCAGGTGAGCCACCATGTAATATCTCACATCTTTTATTTCTTCACTATATGAATTTCAATTTGAGAACAAATGTCAGCACCTTTTTCATAGTAACTGGTCCCTCATTGGTGAGAATGTTATACTTGTCCAGCAGGTCCTATTCATAGCAGTGCTGTGCCACCTAGGTAAGCATGTTCCTAAACTTCTTGCTCTGGGCAGTTGGATCCTTTGCTACAAACCAAGCAATGTTACAAAGTTTCTGAAGCCTGCAGAAACACAGAGTTCTGGAAAGGGCTTTAAGGGGTGGGTCGCTTAGTAAAATTCACACGTATTCTCAGGAAAATCTAAGCCATTTTAGAAAGATAGATTTCTGCCATAATCATGGGGATTTTTAGCCTTCACTTAGTGACTTGTCTCCATGTCTCATCATCCTTACTCCAGCCAGAAGTTCTTTGATTTGCACTTTGAATCCCTCAGTTATATTTTGAGCATTTTCCCTCCTGACCCACCTTTACTGGAATTGAAAAACCGCAGCACCAGGCATGGTGGCTCACGCCTGTAATCCCAGCACTTTGGGATTCCAAGGCAGGCAGATCACCTGAGGTCGGGAGTTCGAGACCAGCCTGACCAAGATGGAGAAACCCTGTCTTTAAAAAAAAGAAAAGAAAAGAAAACAAAAACGCAGCAATAAATAATTTTTTGTTGTTTTGTTGTTTTTTTTTTTTTCTTTTGAGATGGAGTTTCACGGTTGTTACCCAGACTGGAGTGCAATGGCACGGTCTTGGCTCACCGCAACCTCCACCTTCTGGATTCAAGCAATTCTCCTGCCTCAGCTTCCTGAGTAGCTGGGACTACAGGCGCGCACCACCATGCCCAGCTAATTTTTGTATTTTTAGTAGAGATGGCGTTTCACCTCTTTGACCAGGATGGTCTCGATCTCTTGACCTCGTGATCCACCCGCCTTGGCCTCCCAAAGTGCTGGGATTATAGGCGTGAGCCATCGCGCTTGGCCTGTTGTTTTGTTTTGAGACTGAGTCTCACTCTGTTGCCCAGGCTGGAGTATGTTGGCACGATTTCAGCTCACTGCAACTTCTGCCTCCTGGGTTCAAGCAATTCTCATGCCTCAGCCTCCTGATTAGCTGAGACTACAGGTGTGCACCACCATGCCCAGCTAATTTTTGCATTTTTTTATAGAAACGGGGTTTTACCATGTTGCCCAGGTTGGTCTTGAACTCCCGGGTTCAAGTGACTTGCCCACCTAGGCCTCTCAGAGTGCTGGAATTACAACAACAGGGAGTGAGCCACAGAGCCTGGCCAGAATTAATAAATAAATATACATTTTTTGAGACAGAGTTTTGCTCTGTCACCCAGGCTGGAGTGCAGTGGCATGATCTTGGTTTACTGCAACCTCCACCTCCTGGGTTCAAGCGATTCTCCTGCCTCAGCCTCCCGAGTAGCCAGGATTACAGGCACCTGCCACTGTGCTTTGCTAATTTTTGTATTTTTAGTAGAGATGGGGGTTTCACCATCTTGGCCAGGCTGGTCTCGAACTCCTGACTTTGTGATCTACCCGCCTCAGCCTCCCAAAGTGCTGGAATTACAGGCATGAGCCACTGTGCCCGGTGATAATTTTTTAAAGCACTCAAGGTCAGGTGCAGTGGTTCATGCCTGTAATACCAGCACTTTGGGAGGCTGAGGCAGGTGGATCACCTGAGGTTAGGAGTTCAAGACCATCCTGGCCAACAAGGGGAAAACACATCTCTACTAAAATACAAAAATTAACCAGGCGTGGTGGCTTGTAATCCTGTAATCCCAACTACTCAGGAGGCTGAGGCAGGAGGCTCTCTTGAACCCTGGAGGCGGAGGTTGCAGTGAATGAAGATCATGCCACTGCACTCCAGCCTCAGTGACAGAGTGAAACTCTGTCTCAAAAAATAAAAATAAAAAAATTTAGGCCGGGCATGGTGGCTCACGCCTATAATCCCAGTACTTTGGGAGGCTGAGGCGGGTGGATCACAAGGTCAAGAGATCGAGACCATCCAGGCAACATGGTGAAACCCCGTCTCTACTAAAAATACAAAAATTAGCTGGGCATGGTGGTGCGCGCCTGTAGTCCCAGCTACTCGGGAGGCTGAGGCAGGAGAATTGCTTGAACCCAGGAGGCGGAGGTTGCGGTGAGCCGAGATCGCGCCATTGCACTCCAGCCTGGGTAACAAGAGTGAAACTCCATCTCAAAAAAAAAAAAATGTAAAAGCACTCAAAATAGCTGCTTCTAGAGAAAGCATGATACTTTCAATTAGACTCAACTACCATGATTTTTTTTAACTTGATTCATTGTTATAGTCTCATTTGTGAAGGAAATAACATTTATTTGTCCAGAATGTTTCATAGTCTTTCAGATTGAGAAACATACTAGCAACTAATTTTTTTTTTTTTTTTGAGACAGAGTCTCACTCTGTTCCCAGGCTGGAGTGCAGTAGTGCCATCTTGATCTTAGATCATGGCAGCCTCTGCCTCCTGGGTTCAAGCAATTTTTGTGTCCCAGCTTCCCTAGTAGCTGGATTACAGACATGCACCACCATGCCTGGTTCAATTTTTGTATTTTTAGTAGAGACAGGGTTTCACTATGTTGGCCAGGCTGGTCTCAAACTCCTGACCTGAGGTGATATGCCTGCCTAGTCCTCACAGTGTGCTGGGATTACAGGCATGAACCATGGCACCCAGCCTAATTTTTCTTTCTTTTCTTGTGTTTCTTTCTTTCTTTTTTTTTTTTTTTTTAAATGGTGTCTCGCTCTGTCACCCAGGCTGGAGTGCAGTGGTGCAATCTTGGCTCACTGCAACCTCTACCTCCTGGGTTCAAGCTATTCACCTGCCTCAGCCTCCTAAGTAGCTGGAACTACAGGCACGCACCAACATGTCTAGCTAATTTTTGTATTTTTAGTAGAGACGCGGTTTCAGTTGGCCAGGCTTTCCTTGAACTCCTGACCTCAAGTCATCCTCCCGTCTTGACTTCCCAGAGTGTTGGGATTACAAGTGCGAACCATCATGGCTGGCCTAATTTTTCTTAATGTTACAGTGAATCAAGATATTTGTGACAGAACCAGAATAAAGAACACACATGTTCAAACAAAAAAGTTCTTTACTGCATCATTATACTACATGTTTGTTTGTTTGTTTGATACAGGGTCTCACTCTATCACCCAGGCTGGAGTGCAGCAGTGTGATCATGGCTCACCACCTCCAACGTAGTGGGGAGTACAGGCGCACACCACCACACCTGACTAATTTTTAAATTTTTCATAGAAACGAAGTCTCCCTGTGTTGCTCAGGCTGGTCTCTAACTCCTAGCTGGGCTCAAGTGATCCTTCTGCCTTGGCCTCCCAAAATGCTGGGATTACAGGCTTGAGCCACTGTGTCTGGTTGTTATTTCTAAGTACCATAATGAGATCAGCTCCCAAATAATAGCACAAATAGAAAACCATGAATTTGGAATACTTTAAAGTCCCGTTTTGTTCATTGCAGTGTTCTTTTTTTTTTTTTGAGCTGGAGTTTCGCTCTTGTTACCCAGGCTGGAGTGCAATGGCGAGATCTCGGCTCACCGCAACCTCTGCTTCCTGGGTTCAGGCAATTCTCCTGCCTCAGCCTCCTGAGTAGCTGGGATTATAGGCACGCGCCACCGTGCCCAGCTAATTTTTTGTATTTGTAGTAGAGACGGGGTTTCACCATGTTGACCAGGATGGTCTGGATCTCTTGACCTTGTGATCCACCCGCCTCGGCCTCCCAAAGTGCTGGGATTACAGACGTGAGCCACTGCGCCCGGCCCATTGCGGTGTTCTTTACCTTAAGAAGGAGATGCTGGCCGGGCGCGGTGGCTCAAGCCTGTAATCCCAGCACTTTGGGAGGCCGAGGCGGGTGGATCACGAGGTCGGCAGATCGAGACCAACCTGGTCAACATGGTGAAACCCCGTCTCTACGTAAAATTACAAAAAATTAGCTGGGCACAGTGGCATGTGCCTGTAATCTCAGCTACTCAGGAGGCTGAGGCAGGAGAATTGCCTGAACCCAGGGGGCGGAGGTTGCGGTGAGCCGAGATCGCGCCATTGCACTCCAGCCTGGGTAACAAGAGCGAAACTCTGTCTCAAAAAAAAAAAAAAAAAAAAAGAAGGAGATGCTATAAATGTGTTACTAACAAACCATATGCTTAGGGAGGCTGCCTAACTGGAATAATTTTTCTTAAGTAGGCTAAGTAATTCCTCTTACTATCTTATTTACAGCATACATTTAATTATATCATTTTCTTTCTTCATAATACAGAGATAAACCTCAAAGTTATAATCAGATTGGTACTAATGATCTTAATGAGGTATCATTGAACTGTCATTTTAAATGTGTTTGTTGACTTTGTGTCTTTTATAGAGAAGAAAACTACACCTCAGCCCAGAGCAATGTAGTAACTTTTACGTGGAACAGTATGGAAAAATGTTTTTCCCCAATTTAACAGCTTACATGAGTTCCGGACCGCTTGTCGCCATGATATTAGCGAGACACAAAGCCATCTCTTATTGGCTAGAACTTTTGGGACCAAATAATAGTTTAGTAGCAAAGGAGACATATCCAGACAGGTAATTTTCAGGGTTGGGGGGATGGCAGGGAATGGAATCCATCTGTGAAAATGAAAAAAAAAAAAAAAATCTGATTTCATTGTAATGGTGGGATTTTTCTTTTCATTTGGAAGTTTTCCTAAATCAACTTTTTTTGGGGGGGAGAATCTGGGAGGTCCATTTTACATTTTAACCACTTTAAATACCTATCAATACTACATACCAGAAAAAGCCTCAGAGAATGTCTGATTTATAGTTGATTATCCGTATTCTCTCAACCTTTAAACTGCCACTGAAGTAGGATTTTTAGATGGGAAAATTGGGATGGTATTTTAAAAGAATAATGGTAATACAGGAGCAGAAATTCAGATTTTCAGCATTATTGCTAATGTATGGAAACAAGAAGATACTGACTTTTTACACTTTTGAATATGCATTGCTTTTTCACTTCTCACAAAACAACACTGCTTTTTTTGCCCAGAGAATTCCTGTTTACCCAGTGTATTCATTCCTCCTGCAGATGTAAATATGTTTGATCCTTATCTAGATAGATAAGTTTAAATTTAAGCTTAAATTTGACATAGATTGTGAAGCTTTCATATGTAAGAAGTGACCATGCTTTTGTAAAATTCCTAAGTAGAATATATACATATAAAGTAAGGAATAGATGTCAGATTGGATGGACATCATCTCCAACTTGTTTTTAGTCTAAGGGCAATTTATGGCACAGATGACCTAAGGAATGCACTTCATGGGAGTAGTGACTTTGCTGCTGCGGAAAGAGAAATACGTTTTATGTTTCCTGAAGGTGAGTTACAGATGACAGACTTGTCAACTGCATCTCCTTATTGTTTGCTTTTTCTTTTATTTTGCGGATATAGCTGGGAAGGAAGATAAAAGATTTTTTTTCCAGTATATTTTGTTACATTTTTGAGTTGTATTTACTTAACACTTGAAGCCACAAATGGAAAACTTGACATTTCCCTAACAACTAAATTGTGCCCTCTAGGAAGTCCTTTGAGAAATGTTTAATTTTTATTTATTTATTTTTAACATTTTAAAAAATTTGAGACAGTGTCTCACTCTCACCTTGGCTGAAGTGTAGTGGCATAGTCACAGCTCACTGCAACCTCGAACTCCTGGGCTCAGGTGATCCTCCCGCTTTAGCCTCCTAGGTAGCTGAGACTACAGGTGCATGCCACCATGCCTAATTTTTTATTTTTTGGAGCGATAGGGTCTCACCATGTTGCCCAGGATACGCTCAAATGCCTGTGCTCAAGTTATCTGCCTGCATTGGCCTCTCAAAGTGATAAGATTGCAGGTGTGAGCCAACACACCCAGACTATTTTTTTTTTCTTTCTTTTCTTTTGTACTAGACATATTCTTCTGTGTTATAATTCTTTCTAGTTATCCTGAAAGGTTCAGTAGAGTTTGTGACACATGAGAAAAATAATCTCTCTTGGAAACTACATTTGATTTACTGTCTTCTCTAACAGTTTACTGTTTGCCTAACAAAATCTTGTGCAGTTGAGAAATTAATAACTAGTCCCTTTTTTTGTTTCCATACTGTTAGGGAAGTTGTAAACCTTTCAGAAGTTGACATATGAGGAAGAACACTGAGGTTTTTGGTTTGTTTTTAATGTCTTTAGAGCATAAATAAAATTTTGTGATTTTTGTTATAAGGAAAAAATAAATACAAAGCATTGACAAAATTTTGTATTTTTTTTTTGGTATGTTTTTCCTGTTATAACTTATTTTTTCCTAAGTCATTTAGATCTGTTCCTCAGTATTTTCCACTGGAGATTCATTCAAATAAAACTGAAAACTGTCTTGGAGATTTAAAAAATTCATGATTTTTTTTGTTTCAGAGATTTCACATTTATGGAATAACTGATGTGATACAACAGTATCACTGTTGTTTGAATTTCTAAATTCAAAATAAATCAATTTCACTTTTTGAGTACTTGATCTGTTACTTTTTAGTGCCACCAGACTGATGCTGACCTGACAATGGGCTGACAACTTTTCTCCACTGGCCTTTCAGATTCTTAAACAAGCAAACAAAAACTACTTTTAAAATATATATATATATTTCTCAAAGCAGTTCTCCTGCCACAGCCTCCCAAAATACTGGAATTGTAGGAGTGGGCTGCCGTGTCCAGTGAGATGACTTTTTCATGTGGTAGCACTTTATGTTAGTCCTGCTAGTGAATTAGACTTTTGCTCGTTAGCTTTTATTATTTATTTATCTCTTTGAGATGGAGTCTCACTCTGTCACCCAGGCTGGAGTGCAGTAGCATGATCACAACTCACAGCAGCCTTGACATTCTGGGCTCAAGCGGTCCTCCCTCCTCAGTCTTCCGAGTAGCTGGAACAACAGGTACATGTCATCATGCTTGGCTAATTTTTGTATTTTCTTTTTTTGTCTTGCATTGGAATATATTTTCTTCTTCTTCTTCTTCTTCTTTTTTTTTTTTGAGACAGAGTTTCGCTCTTGTTACCCAGGCTGGAGTGTAATGGCACGATCTCAGCTCACCACAACCTCCACCTCCTGGGTTCAGGCAATTCTCCTGCCTCAGCCTCCTGAGTAGCTGGGATTACAGGCACGCGCCACTATGCCCAGCTAATTTTTTGTATTTTTAGTAGAGACGGGGTTTCACCATGTTGACCAGGATGGTCTCGATCTCTTGACCTCGTGATCCACCTGCCTCGGCCTCCCAAAGTGCTGGGATTACAGGCTTGAGCCACCGTGCCCGGCTGGAATATATTTTCTATAGATATGAATTCTCACTGCGTTGCCCAGGCTGGTCTTGAACTCCTGGTCTCAAGCAATCCTGCTGCCTCTGCCTTCCAAAATGGTGGGATTATAGGTGTGAGCCATTACACCCAACTTCTCTTTAGCTTTTAAATAAAACAGGATAAAATTCATTTTATGTTAAGTAGAAGGTATATTTGGAAGCTCTTAGTACTCATAGGATTATAGGATTATATTCCTAAATGTAATTTTCTTCCTTTTCTTTTTCTCTCTTTCTTTTTTTTTTTTTTTTTTTTTTAAGATAAAGTCTCACTCTGTTGCCCAGGCCAGAGTACACAGTGGCACAGTCACAGCTCACCACAGTCTTGGCCTTGCAGGCTCAAATAATCCTCCCATGTCAGCCTTTGGAGTAGCTGGAACCATAGGTGTACACTACTATACCTGGCTAATTTTTCAAGTTTTTTGTAGAAATGGCGTTTTGCCTTGTTGCTTAGGCCAGTCTCAAACTCTTGTGCTCAACCGATCCTCCTGTCTGCCTTCCAGTGTTGGGATTACAGGCGTGAACCACTGTGTTTTCAGTTGCCTTTGATTTTTACTCATTAAATTAATCCTTCTAATTCATTAGATGAATAAGAAGGCATGAGTTTAGAGATATAGTTAGACATTTGAGAAGCAGCAAGTTGTAGGATAAATATAAAATGATTAATTACTTAGCACATTGCAGATCTTTTGCTGTGAAGTTCTTTGGAGCAAATTCTGAGTTTGTGGTATGAGTATCCTCCTACTTAGCAGTCCATCAACAACTATGTGCAAAACTTTATATGATGATTCACTCAAGCAAGTTATAAAGATATTCAAAGACATGTTCCTAATCCTTGAAAAAAGTAATGCTTGCTGGGCACCGTGGCTCATGCCTGTAATCCCAGCACTTTGGGAGACCAAGGTGGGTGGATCATTTGAAGTCAGGAGTTTGAGACCAGCCTGGCCAACGTGGTAAAACCCTGTCTCTACTAAAAATGCAAAATTAGCCAGGCCCGGTGGTGCATGCTTGTAATCCCAGTTACTCAGAAGGCTGAGGCAGGAGAATTGCTTGGACCTGGGAGGTGGAGGTTGCAGTGAGCTGAGATCGCACCACTGAACTCCAGTCTGAGCGACAGAGTGAGACTGTCTCAAAAAAAGAAAAGGAAAGAAAAGAAAAAAGTAATGCTCTCTTCTTTCTCTTTTTTTGGGGGGAAGGGGTTACAGGGTCTCTCCATGTCATTCTGGATGGAGTGCAGTGGTACAATCATAGCTCACTACAACCTTAAACTCTTGTCCTCAAGCAGTCCTCCCACCTCAGCATCCTGAGTAGCTGGAACTACAGGTGTGTACCACCATATTCTGTTAATTTTTTTTTTTTTTTTTTTTTAGACAGAGTCTCACTCTGTTGCCCAGGCTGGAGTACAGTGGCATGATCTCTATGCCTGGCCCAATTTTTAAAATTTTTTTAGAGATGGGATCTCACTAAATTACCCAGGGTGGTTTTTTTTCCCTTTTAATAGAAATGGCTAATTTGAAGTTTTGCTCTATTCCATTCCTTCAATAAATTTATTGAGTTGCCTACTATTTGCTATAAATGCATAAGAAGATGAATAAGAAGATATCCCTACTCTCAAAATGATTATATTTGAAAATAAATATACTGGCTCAATATGGTGGCTCACACCTGTGATTCCAACACTTTGTGAGGCTGAGGCAGGAGAATAGCCTGAGTCCAGGAGTTGGAGACCAGCCGGGGCAACATAGCAAGATATCATCTCTACAAAAAATAAAAAATTAGCTGGACGTGGTGGCCTATGTCTATAGTGCCACCTACTCTGGAAGCTGAGGTGGGAGTATCGTTGGAGTCTAGGAGGTTAAGGCTGTGTGAGCTATGATAGCACGCTCCAGCCTGGGCAACAGAGTGAGACCCTGTGTCAAACAAACAAACAAAGAAATAAATAAAACAAGGATGACAAAAACCTTAAAAAGCTTAAAGAAAGTCCATCCATGTAAGGAACATGAAAACACTCTTTTTATTTTCTCATTATTTAGCCCTAATCCTGTCACGGTGGCTTACACTTATAATCCCAGCATTTTGGGAGGCAGAGGCAGGAGGATTGCTTGAGCCCGGCAGTTTGAGAGCAGCCTGGGCAACATGGCAAGACCTTATCTCTTACAAAAGTACAACAAATTAGCTGGGGGTGATGGTGCACACCTATGGTCCCAGCTACTTGGGAGGCTGAGGTGGGAGATTCACTTGAGCCCAGCAGGTCAAGGCCCCAGTGAGCTGTGGTTATGCTGCTGTACGTCAGCCTGGGTCACACAGTGAGGCCCTCTCAATAAATAAGTAAATGAAAAATCTGCTGATGAAATTAAGAAAGCAATTCCAGGGAATAAACTATTTGCAAGCCATATATCTGATAAGGGCTTAATGTCTAAAACATATAAGGAACTCTTACAACCCAATATAAAAAAAATCCTAAATAAACCAATTAAAAAATGGGCAAAGGGGTCCAAAGTGGCTCCCGCCAGAGGTCATGGTGCTTGCAAAGGCGAGGTCATCAGTTCAAGGCTAACCTGAGCAACCTCATAAGCTCAAACTGATTGGCAAAAAAAAAAAAAAAAAAAAAAAAAAATTGGGCAAAGGACTTGAATAGACATTTTTCTAAAGAAGACATACAAATAACCAACAAGTATATGAAAAGGTGCTCAAGGCTAAGCATGGTGGCTCATGACTGTAATCCCAGCACTTTGAGAGGCTGAGGTAGGCAGATCTCCTGAGGTCAGGAGTTCAAGACCAGCCTGGCCAACAAGGCGAAACCCCTTCGCTACTAAAAAATACAAAAAATTAGCTGGGTATGGTGGCATGCGCCTGTAATCCCAGCTACTCAGGAGGCTGAGGCAGGAGAATTGCTTGAACCCGGGGGGCAGAGGTGGAGGTCAGCTGAGATTGCACCACTGCACTTCAGCCTAAGCAAGAACAGTGAGACTCCATCTAAAAAAAAAAAATCACTAATCATCAGGGAAATACAGATCGAAACCACTGTGAGATATCACCTCACACATTAGGATGACTATTATCAAAAGAAAAAAAAGGTAGGCCAGGTACAGTGGCTCACGCCTGTAATCCCAGCACTTGGGAGACCAAGGCAGGCAGATCACGAGGTCAGAAGATCAAGATTATCCTGGCCAACATGGTGAAACCCTGTCTCTACTAAAAATACAAAAATTAGCTGGGTGTGGTGGCGCGTGCCTGTAATTCTTAGCTGTTCAGGAAGCTGAGGCAGGAGAATCACTTGAATCCGGGAGGCAGAGAGTGCAGTGAAAGATCGTGCCACTGCACTCCAGCAAGACTCTGTCTTAAAAAAAAAGAAGGTAAATGTTATGTTGGTTTCATAATCGTTCGATACAGACACTAGGTTAAAAAAAAAAACAAAGTTATGGTGGCACTGCACTCCAGCCTGGTGACAGAGCAAGACTCCCTTTCAAAAAAAAAGGTAAGTGTTGGCAAGCATATAGAGAAACTGGAACATTTGTACACATTTGATGGGGGATTTAAAATGACACCACTGTTGAAGACAGTATGAAGGTTCCTCAAAAACTGTTACATGATCTAACAATCCCTCCGCTGGATATATATCTGAAAGAATAGAATCAGGATCTTGAAGAGATACCTGCACTAATGAACCACAATAATGTTCATTGAGCCATTATTCACAATAACCAAGATATGGAATCAACCTAAGTGTCCATCGGTGGGTTAGTGTATGAAGAAAATGTGGTGTATATACACACAATGGAATACTATTCGGCCTTAAAAAGGAAGAGATTCTGTCATTTTCAACAACATGGATAAACCTGGAAGACATTATATTAAGTGAAATAAGCCAGGCATAGAAAGACAAATACCACATAATCTCACTTTTATGTGGAATCTGCAAAAAAAGTTGAACTCAGAGAGTAGAATGGTGGCCACCAGGAGCTTGCAAGACAGAGTGGGGGATGGAAATGTTGATCAAAGGACATGAAATTTCAGTTAGATAGTAGGAATAAGTTCAAGAGCTCTAATATAACAGCATGGCGACTATAGTTAATAATAACGTATTGTGTAATTGAAAATTGCTAAGACAGTAGATTTTAAGTGTTCTCAGCACAAAAAAGGATAAGTATTTGAGATAATGCAGTATGTTAATTAGTTTGATTTACGCTTTCCATAGTGTTTACATATTTATTTTATTTTATTTATTTATTTATTTTGAGACAAAGTCTTGCTCTGTTACCAGGCTGGAGTGCAGTGGCATGATCTCAGCTCACTGCAACCTCTGCCTCCCGGATTGAATCGATTCTGCTGCCTCAGCCTCCCGAGTAGCTGGGATTACAGGCTCGTGCCACCATGCTCAGCTAATTTTTGTATTTTTAGTAAGGATGAGGTTTCACCATGTTGGCCAGGATGATCTCAATCTGCTGACCTGGTGATCTGCCTGCCTCAGCCTCCCAAAGTGCTGGGATTACAGGTGCGAGCCACCGCTCCCGGCCGTGTTTACATATTTCAAAACAACATGTACACAAAAAATGTATACAATATTTTTTATCAATTAAAAAATGTGTTGGCTGGGCACAGTGGCTCATGCCCGTAATCCCAACACTTTGGGAGGCCAAGGTGGGTGGGTCACCCGTGGTCAGGAGTTTGAGACCAGCCTGGCCAACATGGTGAAACCCTGTCTCTACTAAAAATACAAAATTAGCTGGCATGGTGGTGCATACCTGTAATCCCAGCTACTGGGGAGGCTGAAGTAGGAGAATTGCTTGAATCCAGGAGCTTGAAACCAGCCTGAGTGACATAGTGAGTGACACCCTGTCTCCAAAAACTTAGAGAAAAAAAAAGATGGGTGTGGCAGCACACACCTGCAGGCCCAGCTACTTGGAAGGCTGACACCAGAGGATGCTTGAGCCCAGGAGTTTGAGATTGCAGTGAGCTATGCTCACACCACCATACCCCAGACTGGTCAACAGAGCAAGACCCTGTGTCTTAAAAAAATAGTTAACATTTTTAAAATACGAAAAGATAGGCAACAGACTGGGAAAAAGTATTGGCAAATAATATGCCACATAAAGGAATAAAGAACTTGTAACTAGAATATATAAAGAACTCCTATGTCTAAATAATAAGAGAAACATCCCAATTGAAAACTGAGGTGGCTGGGCGCAGTGTAATCCCAGCACTTTGGGGAGCCGAGGCAGGCGGATCACGCAATGAGTTCGAGACCAGCCTGACTAACATGGTGAAACCCCATCTCTACTAAAAATACAAAAATTAGCCCAGCATGGTATTACGTGCCTGTAATCCCAGCTACTCAGGAGCCTGAGGCAGGAGAATCACTTGAACCTGGGAGGCAGAGGTTGCAGTGACCTGACTGCTCCACTGTACTCCAGCCTGGGTGACAAAGAAAAAAAGAAAAGAAAAGAAAGAAAACTGAGGCTGGTTCTACTCAGGAGGCTGAGGCAGGAGAATTGCTTAAACCCAGCAGACTTAGGTTGCAGTGATCCGAGATCATGCCATTACACTCCAGCCTGGGTGACAAGAGTGAAACTGTCTCAAACAAAAAAGGAAGGAAGGAAGGAAGGAAGGAAACAAACTGAGGCTGGTTGCAGTGGCTCATGCCTGTAATCTCAGCACTTTGGGAAGCTGAGACAGGCAGATCATTTGATGTCAGGAGTTCAAGACCATCTTGGCCAACATGGGGAAACCCCAGCTCTGCTAAAAATACAAAAATTAGGGCCGGGCATGTTGGCTGACACCTGCAATTTCAGCACTTTGGGAGGCCAACGCGGACAGATTACCTTCGGTCAGGAGTTTGAGATCAACCTGGCCAACATGGTGAAACCCCATCTGTACTCAAAATACAAAAATTAGCCAGGTGTGGTGGCACGTGTTAGTAATCCCAGCCACTTGGGAGGCTGAGGCAGGAGAATCAGTTTAACTCAGAAGGCGGAGGTTGCAGTCAGCTGAGATCATGCCAGTGTACTCCAGCCTGGGCAACAGAGTGAGAATCTGTCGCCAATAAATAAATAAATAATATAAATAAAAATTCAAAAATTGGGGGCTGGCGCGGTGGCTCAAGCCTGTAATCCCAGCCCTTTGGGAGGCCAAGGCGGGTGGATCACGAGGTCAAGAGATCGAGACCATCCTGGTCAACAAGGTGAAACCCCGTCTCTACTAAAAATACAAAAATTAGCTGGGTGTGGTGGTGCGCGCCTGTAGTCCCAGCAACTCGGGAGGCTGAGGCAGGGGAATTGCTTGAACCCAGAAGGTGGAGGTTGCGGTGAGCTGAGATTGTGCCATTGCACTCCAGTCTGGGTAACAACAGTGAAACTCCGTCTCAAAAAAAAAAAAAATTAGCCAGGTGTGGTGACACAGGTCTGTAGGCCCAGCTACTCGGGAGGCTGAGGTGAGAGAATCACTTGAACCCAGGAGGAGGTTGCAGTGAGCTGAGACTGCATCACTGTACTCCAGCCTGGGCAACAGAGCAAGACACCATCTCAAAAAAATATATACAAAAATAGATAAAAGTTATTTGAAAACAGTGTTTTTAATGATTGCATAGTATTTACTCATTATATTTTCTTCAATAAGAATACATTTGTATTTGCAGTGATTGTTGAGCCCATTCCAATTGGACAGGCTGCTAAGGACTATTTAAATTTATATGTAATGCCAACTCTGCTTGAAGGACTCACAGAGCTTTGTAAGCAAAAACCAGCAGATCCTTTGGTAAGAAACCTTTTTATTCACACTAAAAAATATTTATAGTTTTCATGTTTAAAGACGTGTCCTTTGAAATACTGAAAATATTGAGAATCTTTTTAAAATAAACATTTCTAGAAGCTATTTTATATATATTTTAGATATTATATATAATTATTGATTACTTACAATTTTCTTGCTGTGATTTATTTATTTATTTATCTATCTATTTATTTATTTGAGACGATGTCTTGCTCTGTTGCCCATGCTGGAGTGCAGTGGTGCAATCTCAGCTCACTGCAACCTCCGCCTCCTGGATTCAAGCAGTTCTCCTGCCTCAGCCTCTCAAGTAGCTGGGATTACAGGCTCCCACCATCATGCCCAGCTAATTTTAGTATTTTTAGTAGAGAGAGTGTTTTGCCATGTTGGTCAGGCTGGTCTCAAACTCCCGACCTCAGGTGATCTGCCTGCCTCGGCCTCCAAAAGTGCTGGGATTACAGGCTTGAGCCACCACACCCAGCTTGTCTTTTTTCTTTTTTGTAGCCATCCTAGTATAGATAACACAAAGTGGTTTCTCAGGGTGGTTTTGATCTGCATTTCCCTAATGACTAATGTTGAGCATCTTTTCATGAGCTTCTTGGTCATTTGTACACCTTCTTTGAAGAAATGTCTATTTAAATTCAAGTCCTTTGCCCATTTTTAAACTGGATTGTTTGTCTTTTTGTTGAGTTAAAGTTCTTTTGTTGAGTTAGTTATATTTTTAGATATTAACCTTATTAGATATATGATTTGAAAATACTGTCTTCCATTTTGTAGATTGTCTTTTCATTTTCTTGATAGTATCCTTTAATGTATAAATGTTTTTTATTTGATGAAATCCAATTTATTTATTTTTTCTTTTATTTCTTGTTTTTTTGGTGTCATGTCTAAGAATCCATTGTGAAATCTAAGTCCAAGGTCATGAAGATTTACCCCTATGTTTTATGTTTTCTTTTAAGATTTTTTATTTTTTCTTTCCTTTTTTTTTTTTTTGAGAGAGAGTCTTACTTTGTTGCCTATGCTAGAGTCCAGTAGCGTGATCTCGGCTCACTTCAACCTCTGCCTTCTGGGTTCAAGTGATTCTTGGTCCCAGCCTCCTAAGTAGCTAGGACCATAGGAGCATGCCACCACACCCAGCTGATTTTTCAAATTTTTTGTAGAGATGGGGTCTCCTTTTTTTTTTTTTTTTTTTTTTTGAGACAGAGTTTCGCTGTTGTTGCCCAGACTGGAGTGCAATGGCACGATCTCAGTTCACCGCAACCTCCACCTTCTGGGTTATCAGGCAATTCTCCTGCCTCAGCCTCCCGAGTAGCTGGGACTACAGGCGCGCACCACCATGCCCAGCTAATTTTTGTATTTTTAGTAGAGACAGGGTTTCACCTTGTTGACCAAGATGGTCTCGATCTCTTGACCCGCATGATCCACCTGCCTCGGCCTCCCAAAGTGCTGGGATTATAGGCGTGAGCCACCATGACCGGCCAGAGATGGGGTCTCCTTATGTTGTTCAGGATGGTCTCAAACTCCTAGTCTCAAGTGATCTTCCTGCCTCGGCCTCCAAAAGTGTTGGGATTATAGGTGTGAGTCATTGCACCTGGCCTCTTTTAAGACTTTTATTGTTTTAGCTCTTATATTTTAGGTAATTGGTCCACTGTGAGTTAAGTTTTGTATATGATGCGGTGTAAGGGTCCAACTTTATTCATTTGCATGTGGAAATGCAGTTGTCCTAGTACCATCTGTTGAAGAGACTATTCTTTCTCCATGAATGGACTTGGTACCATTGTCAAAAATTTTGTTGACCGTAGATTCATGGGTTTATTCCTGGATTCTCATTCTTTTTAAAAATATGAAATGCAGGCCGGGCGCGGTGGCTCACGCCTGTAATCCCAGCACTTTGGGAGGCTGAGGTGGGTGGATCACGAGGTCAAGTCATTGAGACCATCCTGGTCAACATGGTGAAACCCCGTCTCTACTAAAAATACAAAAAATTAACTGGGCATGGTGGTGTGTGCCTGTAATCCCAGCTACTCAGGAGGCTGAGGCAGGAGAATTGCCTGAACCCACGAGGCGGAGGTTGCGGTGAGCTGAGATTGCGCCATTACACTCCAGCCTGGGTAACAAGAGCGAAACTCCATCTCAAAAAAAAAAAAATTAAATAAATAAATAAATAAAAATATGAAATACTTTATGAATTGTGCATCATCCTTGCACAGGGGCCATGCTAATCTCTCTGTATCATTCTAGTTTTGGTATATGTGCTGCCAAAGAGAGCACTGGACTCTCAGGTGTAGTCTATCGGTCTGCATGTCTGGCATAAGGATGTCACTACCACACTATGCTGAATAGCTTTGTAGAAGGTTTTGAAATTGAGAGTACACGTCAGTCCTCCAACTTGCTCTTTTTCATCATTGTTTTGGCTCCTCAGAGCCCCTTGCAATTTCATATGAATTTGAGGATTGGCTTTCCATGTCTGCAAAATGCTTGTTGGACATTTGGCAAGAACTGCATCAGATCTGTAGATTGTTTTGGTTATAAGTGACATCCTAACAATATCTCAAGTCTTCCTATCCATGAAAAAAAGAATGTCTTCTAATTTGTTTAGGCATTCTTTAATTTCTTTCAGCAATGTTTTACAGTTCTTAATGTATAAGCCTTTCACTTCTTTGGTTAAATTTATTCCTTGGCATTTTATTTGTCTTTATGCTACTGTAAATGAAAGTGATTTTGGCTGGGCGTGGTGGCTCATGCCTGTAATCCAAGCACTTTGGAGGCCAAGACAGACGGATCACCTGAGGTCGGGAGTTCAAGACCAGCCTGACCAACATGGTGAAACACAGTCTTTTAAAAAAATAAATTTTAAAAAAAAAAAGTAATTTTTAAATTTCTTTTTTGGACTGTCATTGTTTTTGTTGCATAGAATACAACTGTTTTTGTGTATTGATCTTGTAACCTACCTCTTTGATGAATTTATTAGCTCTAATAGCTTCCTTTTAAATTCCTTAGGATTTTCCATATATAGGTTTATGCCATCTGTGAATAGAGATTTACTTTGTCCTTTCCAGTTTGGATTTACTCTTGACAGTCTTGTATAATGTAAATCTAAATGTTCCATTTTAATGGTCATTTTCTTTAAGTGATTTTGAAAACTGTTTAAGTTTCCCATTGATAAAGTATATATTGAAAGGAAAGGCCGGGCATGGTGGCTCACACCTATAATCCCAGCACTTTGGGAGGCTGAGGCGGGTGGATCACGAGGTCAAGAGATTGAGACCACCCTGGCCTACATGGTGAAACCCCGTCTCTACTAAAAATACAAAAAATTAGCTGGGCACAGTGGCGCGTGCCTGTAATCCCAGCTACTCAGGAAGCTGAGGCAGGAGAATTGCCTGAACCCAGGAGGCGGAGGTTGTGGTGAGCCGAGATCGTGCCATTGCACTCCAGCCTGGGTAACAAGAGCGAAACTCCGTCTCAAAAAAAAAAAAAAAAAAAAAAAAGAAAGGAAATATTAACTTAAGCATTTTTTTTTTGTCTTTTTTCATAGATTTGGCTAGCTGATTGGCTGCTGAAAAATAATCCCAACAAACCCAAACTTTGTCACCCTCTAATGGTAGAAGAACCTTATTAAAAAAAAATCCTCAAAAGAACAAATCATAAACTGTCATATTGCAAAAGGCTGTACTTCTACTGCTTGAAAAAAACATTATTTCTAGGGTTTAAGTAACTATGAGTGAAATAAATTTATTTCTTAAAAATAAGTGTTAAAGGAATAACTATTCTATGAAGCAGATAATATTAAGGTAAAATATAGGCTTAGAGTATGATTTTAACAATGATGTAACATTAGGTAATGGAAAACTGATGTAAGATGTTGCTAGGTGGTTTTCTTAAGTTTGATAAGTAGGACGTAAAGTTTAGTTATACATTTTCCCAAGCACATATCCTATATCTAGATACATAATTAATGCATAATTGAGATAGTCTAGTTTAAAAGGCATAAGACCTTTTGCAGCTCATAAGCATGATGATTTGGTTTCATGCTCATGTGTGAGATGTGCTTCCCTCAAACCTTGTTACAGCATCATCACATTACCTGTTTGATGTAAAAAATAAAAATAGAAGGCCAGGTACGGTGGCTCATATCTGTAATCCCAGCACTTTGGGAGGCTGACGTGGGCATATCACGAGATCAGGAGTTCAAGACCAGCCTGGCCAACATGGTGAAACCCCGTCTCTACTAAAAATACAAAAATTAGCCTGGTGCGGTGGTGTGTGCCTATAGTCTCAGCTACTGGGGAGTCTGAGGCAGGAGAATTGCTTGAACCTGGGAGGCGGAGGTTGTGATGAGCTGAGATTGCACCACTGCACTCCAGCCTGGGCAACAGAGCGAGATTCTGTCTCAATAAAATAATAATAATAATAAATAAAAATAAAATGATGTAAGTATATAAATAATTATTTGGTACAATGAAAATGGCCAGAACCAGGGGATGATTTTAAACTTAGGTAACTATTAGGCTGGTGCAAAAGTGATCGAGGTTTTTGCCATTAAAAAACTATCAATGGTAAGGCTGGGCACAGTGGCTCACGCTTGTAATCCCAGCACTTTGGGAGGCTGAGGTGGGCGTATCACCTGAGGTCAGAAGTTTGAGAACAGCCTGACCAACATGGAGAAACCCCATCTTTACTAAAAATACAAAATTATCCAGGCTTGATGGTGTATGCCTGTAATCCCAGCTACTGGGGAGGCTGAGGCAGGAGAATTGCTTGAATCCACGAGGTGGAGGTTGTGGTGAGCCACGATTGCGCCATTGCACTCCAGCCTGGGCAATAAGAGTGAGACTCCATTTCAAAAACAAACAAAAGAAGGCAAAAACTGTGATTGCTTTTGCACCAACCTAGCATTTTCTCGAAATTAATAAATGCCTTCTGGCTGGGCGCAGTGGCTCATACCTGTAATCCTAGCACTTTGGGAGGCCATGGCAGGCGAATTA